CTTTTCTTTATTTTTCTCAGAAGATGGAAACTCAAGAAATCGTGAGACACATAGAAAATTGAAATGTTGAAAATTAGCGCAATAGGACGGAAACGAACTTCTGCAGAACGAATAGCACAGTGCAAATCTTGTGGCTTTTCTTTTTGATTGGTAAAGTACCTTTCACACCTTTTACTATTATATTTTATTTTCACACAAGTCCAACGACGTCAAATAGTGGGGCATCTCTGATAATCTTATTTTTCAATTTGGTAAAATCATTAAATGAGTTTTATTATTATATTATATTTAATTTCACCAACCAACGTTGCTTTTTAATTCAAAACTTACTTTTGTTTATCATATTATTATTTTGTTTTCCAAAAGCTAAAACCCATGTAACATGTTTGAAAGCTATATGCAGATTTACAATTCAATAACTATTTTTTTACTGTATTGCTTTTAAAAAAATTAAACCACGTGACAATTTGTGAGACTAAGTAACAAGGCTGATTATTTTTTAAACAACTAATCCACGGAATACAGAAGCTTATATTTTATTTAATTGATTTTAATTTTTGGTCCAGAATTTTTTATTTAATGCATGTAATGAAATGATATGCATTGGAGCTTAGGGAGATACTATATGATATAATATAGCGTGTAACAAAATTTCTAAAAATACCTAACCACTTGTATCTTCAAACTCCATCTTCAATTTGAGACTTTTTGTAAACCCTTTGTCATCATCAAAATATTTATTCCATTATTCTTCTTCATCTATTTTGTATTTAAAGTTAGTATTTTGAAATTATTTCTTTAAAAATTGTGAAGATGTCGTTACTCTTATGAATCTTTTCTATTCTTTTGGTTTATATGTTATCTTTGACTTTGTAGATTTGATGGATTTATTTAAATTAATTATAAGAATTATCTTGAATCAAGACTATAGAATTAAGAATTCCTTTCGTACCAAATGGATATTAGTGAAATATGTAATTTTTATCTGAATGATTCTGATATGGCTGACCCACAAGGGGATCAAAATGGTTATAGGATAAGGAACGTCTTATCATGGCTTGAGGTCCGCCATACACAACCTTTCACATACAGAAACCGCGGAGTTTGTGTGCTCACAAAAGTTTGAGCATTAGTCATTTCAGTTAAAGATTACACATTCTTTTATATGTTTGTATGTAGAAACCCACAAAGGTTTGGGTAAAATCCACAAATGTTTGAGCTTATATTTATTAATCATGATATTATTTAATTATAAATGATATTTTTCACTAAAGTGGCTGAATTCAGTGATTTAAAATATCGCCCCCCCGGGGTCGACCCTGCTGGGTCACTGACCCCCTATCTCTGAGGGTTGGGTCAACAGTTAGACTTTACATGCACATTGACCCCTCTGATCCCCAAAACTCTCCAGTTGAACCCGTGACTACTGGGTCAAAGGGGTTAGAGGGGGTCACTATATTTTATTTTTTTTAAAATTACGCATAAAAAGATGTTTGGTATGTAAAAAAAAAAATTTCAGTGCTGCCTAAATTTGAAATCTGAATCATTTTTCTTCTTCTCTTCCGATCTTCTCTCCCAGATCCAGACTCAATCTCCCAAATCCGGTGATCTCCTCCGCCGTGATAGTGGCTCCTCCTATCATCTTCGGTTTTCTATCTCCCTCTCCTTCATTGTGCTGGTTCTTCTCTCCCCACCGTTGATTCATCACGCCGTTTTCTCTTGGGTAAGGGATCTCTTTTCTCATGTTGTTGTAGGTGCATCAGAAGGACAAGGAGTACCTGAGTTGAATGATATAACTTTTCATTAACTCCCTTTGAATATGTATTTTATACTTTGATAGTTTGATACTTTGATTAGCTTATGTAATTTTGACTTGTGGATGTAATTAGTTGAATTATGTTATATATTTTGAATCTTTGATGATTGGTGGTTTAATTTTTTTGAATTTTTCATATAGGATATATATTTATAGTTTTTAATGTATAAAACCGGTCAGCGAAATGACCCCACGACCCCTCGGTTGAACCCATGACCCCTGACCTCGGTCAATTTGATAGCTGGGTCAAGTTTTTAAACACTTGCTAGATTGGTTATAGTTCGAAAATTCTAATATTATTGAGATTTATCTCACGTGTGTATTTTTATGCTAACCTTTCAAGAAAGTAAGCATGTCAGTATATGTAGCTTTGGAGTATGATGAAACACTATGAATAAAGGCTTTGAAGACTATACGAAGTTCACCAGAGCAACTAATAGAATAAAAGTGTTTCTTTTTCAGTTTAGGCTATGATATACTTTAGATGTAATAGTGACCTTAACTTCTATATAATTAAATTTTAAGATTTTTTTATTTTATGTCTTAGTTTTATCTGTTGTGTTAGAATCTCGTTATAACTCTCGTTTCTTAATTAAATAAGAATGAGAGGTTATGTGATATCCTATATGCTAATCGTTATAGGGCCTGTTACAATATACTTTTACTATTTTTGTTAACTTTTATGAGACAGACAAACCAATTTCTTTTTTCTATCAATTTCTTTTTTTCTTTGTGCAAGCACGGGTAATATACTAATTTAAATCTAAAATAAAACAAGAGAACTTAAAAGTGACATGTGTCATTTTATATAGGAAATGTAGATAAAAAAATTAAGTTGACTCTTAGTTAGTGGAATCCAATATAGGAAAAAGAACAATTTTAATGCAAAAAGAAAATTTATAATGAATTAATTTAAGAGTAAAAACAGTTTAGATTTAAGAAAAAAAAAATACATAAAAGTAAAAAAAAAATTAAAATAATTATTTTGATAACATAAGGAGTTGAAAATTAAAAAAAGAAAAGAAAAATGGAGCTAAAAGAATAAAATAATTACTAACTTCATTTTTTTTAAAATTATAAAACGATAAAAGGACTTGTCTTTAAGAGAATATATCATGCTACTGCCTCGTTTTCAAAAAATGATAACTCAATTTTAATGTATAAGAATAAATAGGATTGAATACATCTTTTGACAACAGTGTCAAATTTAAAATTTGACACCTCTTCTGAGATTCATTAGATCAAAAAAGATTAATGGTATCACATCCTTACAAATCAGAATCGTTAATCTTTTTTGATCTAAGGGCTCTCAGATGAGGTGTCAAATTTTAAATTTAACACTGGTGTCAAAGGATCCCACCTCATATATATATATATATATATATATATATATATATATATATATATATATAGGGCTTATCGTTTCTCAAGCTGTTTGAGATAATTTTATCTCCGGCTACTAGGTGTGCTAAACGAACCAGGGGCCTTTGGCTCGGCTCGTGAAGGCCTGAGCTTACATCTCTAAAATTGATTATTGGCACCAGACTTAGACTTGTATAAAAGCTCGTTTAGTAAAAAAGTCCCAGGCTCCAATTCAAAAGCTCGGCCTTAAAGCCTCTCAGGCTAGCCTAGTATATTATTTATTTTTATTTTTTTTATACTACTTGTAATAACCCTCTCTTTCTCCTCAATTTATTTCACCTCATTTTATTGGTTAAACAGATTTTTTGAACGATTTTGTTCTATATTATGTTGTTTGAATATAAATTGAATTTATGAATATTTATGGAATTACTAGTGTTGTTGATTGTATATTCTGTTTGGATAATTTTTTATTTTTTTAAACAGGCTAAACCAGGCTTTTATTTCTTGTAAATAAGACAGGCCACAGGTCGATAATTATATTTATAACAGGTAACAAGCTTAGTCAGACTGACACATTTAAACACAGACTTAGCCTTTTTAGACCAAAGCTCGGCCCGTTAACACCCCTACCGGCTACTAAATTATAACCGTACAAAGATGGATCAATGGTGATAAAGGAAGAGAGAGAAAAAGGGAATCATAAGATTCATAACCATTCAAAGGTGAATCAATTAATATAAGGAAATAAATAAATAAAACGATGTAGTTTTTCGGTGGTCGGAGATAAACTTATCTCAAGCTGCTTGAGAAATGTTTTTTCTATATATATATATATATTTGTTTTTTCTTCAGTCAATGTAAATAACTTATCTACATTGAGCCCAAAACGACATCGTTTTGGGACGAAAATCAAGATATTTTTGTAATTATAATTTATTCCAAAGTTATAATAATCTTTTTCATTATAATTTTTTAATTTTTCAACTCAAAACGACGTCATTTTGATAGCGAATGTAAACAACTTATCTACATCTACTGTAGAAATATTAAAGCTTATATATATATATATATATATATATATATATATATATATATATATATAATGTAAAAATTGGTTTTTAATTGTCACTATTTATTTATTATTTTAAATTATTAAAGTTTTAAAAGTTATAATTTTAAATAAAATATATTTAAATACATAGACTTCAATGTTTCTTCCGCGCTTTAAGATAAGATAGAGATATTCTTTCATATTTCAAGAGAAGAATTTTTCCAGAAACTTATTGCTCATAACATACTGTAACACTTGACTCAAATAGTCTTCTTAAGAGATTAGGATACACCCGCACAAGAAAAAAGTGACGACTGATATTTCTTACGTGTATCTAACGTTTTCTCTAAATTTTAGAAAGTAGTATTAATATAATAATTTCACGATGAATATGATGGAAAAAAATGTCTCGCTTGTTATCAATAACAAATTATTTCCATACTCCTTGCATATGAAATTATTGTAGGTTGAAATGTCAACCCATTCCCACATATAAGTCACGATTTACTGTTAGCATGGAGAAATATCTGGATTCTGCCAAGCATTTTTGACCGGCAACATGATATTTGTATTATATATATAAGTGGATCTTCATCACCCACTCCTCATCTTCCAAGTTTCATGTCCTGTTCAATTGCCACTGATCAACAAATAACTAGTCATAATTATCAAACATGTTATCCATTCTTCTTCTTATTGTTAGTAAAATATATATAAAAGGGCATTTCCCAAACTTGAGTAGCAGCAGCCGCGCTTCCCAAGGAATCCATGGCTGCCGTAACGCCTCTTATTCTTCTTACACTTGTCTTTCTTCAAGTTTTGTTAGTTTTTGCAAACGTTAATCTGAGTTCAACACTCACCACTCATGATAATGATGCGTGGCTATCACCTTCGGGTGACTTTGGTTTCGGGTTTCGCCAGCTTAACGACACAAGTACAAACCTCTTCATGGTTTCCATCTGGTATAACAAAACACCCGACAAGACCGTTGTTTGGAATGCAAAAGCAGATGGTGATGTTGTAAAAGCACCAACAGGATCACAGATTCAGCTCACATCAAAAGGGCTCACGCTCACAATTCCTAACGGGAAATCCATATGGACGGCACAACCAAACGCCCTTGTTTCCCACGGAGCTATGCTTGACACTGGCAACTTTGTTCTCTTGAACGACAATTCTACTAATGTGTGGGAAAGTTTCAAGAATCCCACAGACACGTTGTTGCCTGACCAATCTCTGGAGAGAGATGGCAAGCTAACTTCTCGATTCACAGAGACCAATTACACAAGAGGAAGGTTCCAACTTTATTTTCAGGATGGTGATGTCTTTCTGAGCCCCCTTGCTTGGCCTACTGATTTTCGTTATGACTCTTATTATAAAATTGATGCCGCTGCCTCTGCTTCACGATTAGTATTCAATGAATCGGGGGATATTTATGTAGAGACAACAAATGGGACTAGAATACAACATCGAGGTCAACAATGGTTTAACATAACTCTCGATCCTAATGTGTATTACTACAGAGCGACACTTGATTTCCATGGAGTTTTCACCCATTATGCTTATCCAAGGAGCTCCAGTGCTGAACAAGGCTGGACAATTTTGAGGTATGTTCCTTATAACATATGCATTGCAATATTTAATGACATGGGTAGCGGTTGCTGTGGCTATAATAGCTATTGCTCAAAGGAAAATCAGAGGCCTACTTGCAAATGTCCTGATGGGTATTCGCTAATAGATCCTAGTAATCAATTTGGTGGATGCCAACCCAATTTCAAACTTGGTTGTGGAGCAGATAATGATGGAGGAGGAGGATCGCAAGCACAGCCAGAAGAGCTATATAATATTACTATTCTTAGATATGTGGATTGGCCTCTATCAGATTATGAAAAGTTACAACCTTCCTCTCAACAGGACTGCCAACAATCTTGCTTGCACGATTGCATGTGTGCTGTTGCCATTTTTAGGGATCAAACATGTTGGAAAAAAAGATTGCCTCTCTCTAATGGAAGATCAAACAGTGGCAGTCACTTGGTCCTTATGAAAACAAGAATTGCTCCTTTGGGTAACCTTGGTCCTGCCAATAGTCCTAACCCAAAGAAAGAAGATCCAGCTAAGCCAGTTCTTGGTTTACTTATTGGCTCCGTTGTCAGCAACAGTCTACTCCTGGCTACTGTTGTTTTGATTCTTCTCTTGAAGCCCAGAAGGATTGTCCAAGCTTCAAGTAATTTGGAATCGAGTTTACATTCATTTACTTATGAAGCATTGAAAGAAGCCACATGGGATTTTAAGGAAGAACTAGGCAGGGGTTCCTTTGGCATTGTTTACAAAGGCAAACTAGAAGCGGCGTCTTACAATGTGGTTGCCGTCAAGAAATTGGACAGATTGGCACAAGAACAAGAGAAGGAATTTAAGACCGAGTTAAGTGCTATTGGTAAAACCTGCCACAAAAATCTGGTACGATTGATTGGATTTTGTGACGCGGGACTCCATAGGCTAATTGTCTACGAGTTTATGAGCAATGGTTCTCTTGCAAATATCCTATTTGGACAACCCAAACCCATTTGGAATCTAAGGGTTAAGTTTGCATTGGATATTGCAAGAGGGTTGGTGTACTTACACGAAGAGTGTGACACTCCCATCATTCATTGCGATATTAAACCTCAAAATATACTCATAGATGAACATTTCACTGCAAAGATCTCTGACTTTGGGTTGGCCAAGTTGTTGTTGTCCGACCAAAGTAGAACCAATACCGTGATCCGAGGAACTCGAGGATATGTGGCTCCTGAATGGTTCAAGTATGTTCCTGTTAAAGTGGATGTTTACAGCTTTGGTGTCATGTTGTTGGAAATCATTTGCTGCAGAAAAAGTGTGCAGCTGATGGACTCCGGGGAGGAAGAGAGAGCAATATTAACAGATTGGGCTTATGATTGCTATATAGAAAAAAAAATAGATGCTCTAGTGGAGAATGATCATGAGGCATTGGCTGACATTGGCAGGTTACTGAATTGGGTAAAGATAGCAATTTGGTGCATTCAAGAGCATCATGAAAGGAGACCAACAATGGGAAAGGTCATGCAAATGCTACAAGGTTTGGTTGAAGTTACTAACCCACCATCGCCTTCTTCCTTCACTTCAATTTCTTGACTGCCATCCAGCCCAGAAAATTGGGGGAGAAAAGGTAGCCCTGACATGGTTGTGTATACCATTTCCCAAGCGAATTTTCCACAAATTTCATGTTATGACTTATTTCTTATTGTATACTTTCTACATAATGAATATCCTTATGCTCCAATATAATTATTGTTTCTATGCCATTCAAGATGTTGTCTTATTTGGAATCATTTTATGGAGGAAGCATAGGACAAACCAAGAATACTTCTCTCAGAGGCAGGTATTCTTCGGATAAACCTGAAAGTATTTTTTTTAGGGCGAATTATTCCTCCTATTCAATTATCATATACTCTTTAAATGAAAGGAAACTCTACAATTACTATTTTAATAAATAATTACGAATACATAACTGTTTTGAAACTATCTACGGATCTATTGCACTCATTCACGCTTAAATTAGGCGTGACTCCCAAGGCATTCACGCCTAATTTAGGCGTGAATCATCTGATGTTGACACGTGACAAAAAAAAATCAACTTACGAACCGTAAAACTTTGTAAAGCCATAACTTTTGACTCGAGTATCCGAATGAGGTAATTTTTTTTTTGATTCCACATAACTTTTCGAGATCTACGCAATGACATCTCATTTGATATATTTTTTCTCTCACAAGCACAATTCAAATTTGCAATAATTGTATTATATAGTGTATTACCAAAAACAATTTAAAAAATTATTATTAATAAGAAAAACGAATAAGTTGCCGTTTTGAACCTAATTACGAATATATTGCACTCATTCAAGCCTAATAATGGTACTATAACATTAAATTCAAAATTCAAATAACCTCCAATAAGTTGATTGCATTTTGTATTTAATAGGAGTTGATTACGTTATAATTTTATGAGTTGGTTACAGATTGTCGCCAATTCAAATAAATTTGCTGAAGGTTATTTGAATTTTGAATTTAATGTTATAGGAGTTAATTGCTATAATGACCCTAACTGGTAAATCTTAGTTAGAGATTTAATTTAAGGATTTAAATGCCATAATTAGATTCAGTGAGCGATTTCGAGTATTTTGACTGTAATCATGACTATGTTATGAACAGTGCGTTCTGCCGGAGAATTTACAGTTTTGTGAATTAACCGGTAGAGCTTAAAATGAGCAAAATAATTTTAGGAACATAATTTGAAAATTCTGATGACAAATATGAGTTCAGAACGAAAAATTGTATAGTCTGGCACTTTCCGTGAAAATCTCGTGAATAGTGTTTCTACCGGGTATTTTGTACTGCTGTTTAAGCAACCGGTAGAGTCCAGAAATAAATAATTGATAAAATAAGAATAAGAAAGTCCAATATATGCCAAGCAAGTCAATATAGGCCCAAGAAAATGATAAGTTTATAAGTGTTAAGTTTCAGAATTAAATAAAGTACAGTTAGTGGTTCACAGTGCATTTCGTTAAAAACGGTGCAAAAACCATACTGTGAATTATGAATATTGTTCCTTAGGAAATAAAAATTAATTTAAATAACTTTAGAAAAATAAAAATATATCCGTAGCTTTAAGTTAAGTTTCCGGTAAATTTAAGTGAAATACGCGATAGAAAAACATCCGACAAAAGGGCCACATGTGCCTAAATAGCTTGGCCACTTAAATGAATCACTATTCATTGCAAAAATTTCTTCTTCTCTCTCTTGAAGGGCCGAGCTTCAGCCATGGAAAAGGGGGGGGGGGGTTAGGGTTTTGCTTGTTTGGTTGATTTCTTCTTGAATTCTCAACCAAATCTTATGACCCACCACTTGAAATTGATTAGGAACCACTCAAGGAATCCATTGCACCTATCCATTTGAGCTATAGTTGAGTGTGTGAAGAGTTATTCCTCCTCTTATTTTCGGATTACTATTCATAGGAGGAGAAAAAGTGGGTTTTTGATGGAGCTTTGCTTGGAGGTTATTCTCTAGGCTTTGTACAAGTGATTAGAGGTAAGAAACCTTTATTTCTATGGTATTATTTTGTGATCTATGTTTTGAAAATTTGGAGCATGTTTTGAGTGGGAAATATTTGATGTTAGAAGGTGAAAATTATGATGGATTGTTGTTGTATAGGAATGATAGTGTTTAGTAAGCATTAATTTGTGATAAAAAAATTGAAAAGCCCTAGTGCACTTTTCCCCTAGGTTTCGGCCTTCATGGCTTATATAGGGTTCATCATGCAAATTTTTATTGTATGTTTGAAAAGGTAAAATATGTTGGAATGTAGTGTAAATGGATTAATTGGTGGAAATGCCAAAGTTAGAAAAAAATCCTACAAATACTTGCTCTATGTTGCGAACTATAGGATGTTTAGGGGTATATATATATATTGGTTACATTTTATTCTAATAAAATGGGTTGCATTTTAATATACCAATGGATGAGCTAAGAAGTGAAATGCTTTGACAAATGGTTGAAAAATACCTTGAGTCCCTAAGGGTACGCCCGCGACTTTTAAAGAAAAATAACATGATTTATGTGAAAGATTCTTAAGTAAATGCTTGATTAAATTAAAGAACGCCAACGGGTGTATAGAGGTCTAGACTTGTGTATTGGCATAGAATTGGCAAAAATATAAAGAAAGGAAAATAAGCGATAAAATGTATGCTTATGAAATAATCATGGTATTGCATCATTTTATTGATGCATTGTAAATTATTCTCTAGGTGTGCCTAGGGATTGAGAAGGATCGGAAATCTCTTGAAGCGATAAAAGTAACTTGTTCCACAAGTAAGCGTATTGGTAAAGCTTCAAGAGGTAAGCTCTATGTTTAAGGAGTCTTTTCCTACTTGAGTGCTCCACCATGGTTAGTGAACTATGGTTGGACTGTATGACTGTGATTTAGATGCTTTGTATAGATGCATTCATATAGAGTTATTTGATAACATGATATGTTTTGCTCTGATATGACTTCTGTAATATGATTTCTGTAACAATCTCTGGCCATTGATTGTATAGTACCCGGACGTCCGCTTTGGGGTCCTCCCTCGGGACTGATGGTGTACTCCTCTGATATGTCTGGTTCCGCTTTGGGGTCCTCCCTCGGGAACACGTGCGTTGATTTCCGCTTGGGGTCCTCCCTTGGGAATGACGGCACATCTCTGATATGATATGGATATATGCTCTGTTCTGTTATGATATCTGTTATATGTTGTATTTGTATACTCTGTATCTGAATTTCATGCAGAAGTGAGCCAGGGGTATGGAGAATTCTCTATAAACCTGGAGCTTATTGAGATTTGTAATCTCACCCCTCTTTGGGGACACATTTTCAGGGGCCCAGATTTCCGGTGAGTCCTCACTAGGCAGGGACACGACACGTGGCTGAGGCAGTTGACAGACCGGATTTTGAGTGGCTGTAGGCTACTACCTTTTTGGAGTGTTTGATGTATTTTAGTATTTTCGCATTTGATGGATCATGATATTGATCCTTTATTTTGTATATGGCCTGTATATGTTTTGTACATGTCTATCAGTTTGATGCATGTACATTTGAGTATTCAGGAACGTTATATGATGATGTAGTATTCAGATAGGTTTATGTTTTGATGGCATGCTGTTAGATTTAGTGGCACGGAGCCATGTTATGCATGCGCCCATGTATGGGTATTTGATTATATTTGGATATCTGGCATTTCTGAATTGATATGTTGTATAAACTGTTTATCAGGAAATGCTTCTGAGTGGGATTGGAAAATCCCCAGTTGTCCGATTTATAGAGGAAACTCTGCCCGATTTTCGTTTACGCCGAGTAAGAATTAAGTTAGAAAAAGAAAAAGTTAGCTCATATTTTTGTAAGTTAAGTCTTCCGCTGTTTCTGTTTGTATCATATGTATGTTAATTGAATCGGCTCGAGACGGGGATGTTACAATTGCGTTTTGTATTTAATAGGAACTGATTGCGTTTTGTATTTAATAGGAAATTTGGTGTCATCTTATTTATAGATGAGTTAATCCCCTTTCGTGCCATCTTTATAGTATCATTGTTGCAAATTTGAATTGTGTTTGTGAGAGATAAAATATATCAAATGAGATGTCATTGCGTAGATCTCGAAAAGTTATGTGGAATCAAAAAAAAAAATTACCTCATTCGGATACCCGAGTCAAAAGTTATGGCCTTATAAAGTTTTACGATTAAACTATTAATTTTTTGTGCCACGTGTCAACACCAGACGAGTCACGCCTAATTTAGGCGTGAATGCCTTAGGAATCACGCCTAACTTAGGCGTGAATAGTCTCACCTAATTTAGGCGTAAATGACTACAATAAATTCAAAAATAATATTCAAATTACAATCTATTCGTAATTATTTATTAAAATAGTAATATTTTAATTTTTTTGGGATACATTATATAATAGTAAAAACGTTTCAACAATTCATACTGAGAGTCTATTTATAGGTCGAACATAGTCAATTATGACTTTCTGCACAAAGTTTCTGTACCGAATAGCCAAGTACTCCAACAAATGAATCCACCATATTGATTACCAAGGTCTAATTGTAACATTCCCGTCTCGAGCTGGTTCAATTAACATACATACATATGATAAAACAGAAAACAGCGGAAGACTTAACTTCTGAAAATACGAGCTAACTTTTTCTTTTTCTTTTTAAATTCTCATTCGTCGTAAACGAAAAACGGGCAGAGTTTCCTCTATAAATCGGACAACTGGGTATTTTCCAATCCCTCACAGAAGCATTTCCTGATAAACAGTTTATACAAATATAATCTAATGCCCATCCATGGGCGCATGCATAACTTGGCTCAGTGCCACTATATCTAACAGCATGCAATCCAACACGTAAACATATCTGAATACTACCTCATCATATAACGTGCCTGAATACCCAAATGTACATGCATCAAAGCGACAGACATGTACAAAACATATACAGGCCATATACACAATAAAGGATCAATATCATGATCCATCAAATGCGAAAATACTAAAATACATCAAACACTCCAAAAAGGTAGTAGCCTACAGCCACTCAAAATCCAATCTGTCAACTGCCTCAGCCACGTGTCGTGTCCCTGCCTAGTGAGGACTCACCGGGAATCTGGGCACCTGAAAATATGTCCCCAAAGAGGGGTGAGTACAAATCTCAATAAGCTCCAGGTTTATAGAGAATTCTCCATACCCCTGGCTCAC